GGATACTGGGGATACTGGGGATACTGGGGAAACTGGGATGGGGATACTGGGATGGGGATACTGGGGATACTGGGGATACTGGGAATACTGGAATAGGGAAAACCACGAGGATACTGGGGACACTGGGATGGGGATACCGGGGATACTGGGATGGGGTGGGGACATCACTGGGGACACTGGGAACGGGGATACGGGGAACACTGGGGATACTGGGAACGCTGGGATGGGAATACTGGGAATACTGGGAATACTGGGAATACTGGGAATGCTGGGAATGCTGGGAATGCTGGGAATGCTGGGAACGCTCCCAGTCCCGTCCCAGCCCCGCCCCCAAACCTGTGCTCCCAGTCTGGCCCCGCCCCCAAACCAGTGCTCCCAGTCTGGCCCCGCCCCCAAACCAGCGCTCCCAGTGCTCCCAGTCCGGCCGGTTCCAACCCCCAATTTGGGGGGGACACACCTGGAACCGCCGGAATTCGGGGGACACACCTGGAACGTTCCAAATATTTTGGGGGGGATGGACACACCTGGAAATTCCCAATTTTTGGGGGGGGACTCACCTGGAAATTCCCAATTTTTATGGGGGGACACACCTGGAAATTCCCAATTTTTATGGGGGGACACACCTGGAATTTCCCAAATATTTGGGGGGGGGGGGATTGACCTGGATTGTCCCAAATTTTGGGGCTTCATACCTGGAAATTCCCAATTTTTGGGGGGGACACACCTGGAAATTCCCAATTTTTTGGGGGGGGACACACCTGGAATTTCCCAAATTTTTTGGGGGGGGGGATTGACCTGGGTTGTCCCAAATTTTGGGGCTTCATACCTGGAAATTCCCAATTTTGGGGGGGACTGACCTGGAAATTCCCAATTTTTGGGGGGGGACTCACCTGGAAATTCCCAATTTTTGGGGGGGGGGACACACCTGGAAATTCCCAAATTTTTTTGGGTGGGGGGATTGACCTGGATTGTCCCAAATTTTGGGGCTTCATACCTGGAAATTCCCGAAATTTTTTGGGGGGTTCACACCTGGAAATTCCCAAATATTTTTGGGGGGGGACTCACCTGGACTGTCCCAAATTTTTTGGGGGGGGGGTGTCCCCAAAACCTCCCCCCCCCGGGTCAGAAAATGCCGGAACTGAGTCACGGCCCCACCCCCACCCCCCGGGAGCCTTTAAGAGCCCTCCCAGTGCTCCCAGTTCCTCCCAGTTTGGCACAGGAGGGACCGGGCAGCACTGCCAGGTACTGGGGGGGACTGGGGGTAAACTGGGAATGAACTGGGAGGGACTGGGGGTAAACTGGGATGAACTGGGAGGGACTGGGGGACACTGGGATGAACTGGGACCAAACTGGGAGGGACTGGGATGAACTGGGAATGAACTGGGAGGGACTGGAGGGTCACTGGGATTAACTGGGGTGAACTGGGAGGGACTGGGAGGAATCTGGGAGGCACTGGGAATGAACTGGGATGAACTGGGAGGCACTGGGATGAACTGGGAATGAACTGGGAGGGACTGGGATGAACTGGGAGGGACTGGGATGAACTGGGAATGAACTTGGAGGGACTGGGATGAACTGGGATGAACTGGGGGTCTCAGGGATGAACTGGGGGTCACTGGGGGGGGCCACTGGGATGAACTGGGATGAACTGGGGGTCACTGGGATGAACTGGGGGTCACTGGGGGTCACTGGGATGAACTGGGGGTCACTGGGGGGGGTCACTGGGATGAACTGGGATGAACTGGGGGTCACTGGGATGAACTGGGGGTCACTGGGATGAACTGGGATGAACTGGGATGAACTGGGGGGGGGGTCACTGGTGCTCACTGCCTCCCCTCCCCCCCTCCCCAGCCATGGCCGAACGCCGCCGCCCCTCCCCCCCCGGAGACCCCCGGGGCTCCCCCAGCCCCTCCCCCCCGCCCCCTCCCCCCCCGGGGCTCCCCCTCGCGCCGTGGCCGCCCCTGCCCGAGTGGCCCCGAGGCGACAGCGGCGACAGTCGCGATAGCCACGATAGAGGCGGCGATAGCGGCGATAGAGGCGGCGATAGCCACGAGAGCGGCGGCGATAGCGGCGATAGCGGCGGCGATAAAGGCGATAAGCACAAGGCCACGCCCCCCGCGACAGCGGGGACAGGAGGGAGGGGCGGCGCCCAGTGACACCCCCGGGTGTCCCCAAGGGGTGGCACCGATGTCCTGTGTCAATAAACGTCCCCAAAAAGTGGCGCCCTTGGGTGATTTTTTGGTAATTTTCGGTTATTTTTGGGGGGTAATTTGGGGTGATTTTTTGGATGATTTTTTGGGTGATTTTTGGGTGGATTTGGGGGTGATTTTTTGGTAATTTTGGGTGATTTTTGGGTAATTTTGGATTATTTTTTGGTGATTTTTGGGTGTTTCTTCGGTGATTTTTGGGATGATTTTGGGATAATTTTGGGTGATTTTGGGGTAATATTTTGCGACTTTTAAATTTTTTTGGACACATTTGGTGTGATTTTGGGACGAATTTCGTGCAAATTTTTGATGGATTTAAAAAAACATTTTCTGACCATTTCCAGACCTTTTTTTTCATCAGTTTTGTACCATTTCCCCCCCACCATTTTTGGACCTTTTTTTTTTACCATTTCTTGACCATTTTTAGACCGATTTTTTCACCACTTTTTCACCTATTTCCCAACCATTTCCTGACCATTTTTAAACCATCTTTTAACGATTTTTGGACCGATTTTTTCACCCATTTCCCGACCAATTCCTGACCAATTCCTGACCGGTTTTCGGACCATTTTTCCCCATTTTTAACAATTTTAAACCGTTTTTTTCCCCATTTTCCCGCCCTTTCCCCTCACAGCCCCGTCACCATGGCAACAACGCCGCGCCGTCGCTCTTTAATGACGTCACGCAGCCCTCCCGCATCCCAGAATCCCCCGCGGCCGTGAGGGGAAGGGGGGGGTCCTCCTGTATCCCAGAATCCCCCGCGGCCGTGAGGGGAAGGGGGGGGTCCTCCTGTATCCCAGAATCCCCCGCGGCCGTGAGGGGAAGGGGGGGTCCGCCTGTATCCCACAATGCCCCGCGCGCGCCCCCTCCCTCCCTCCCTCCCGCCGCCGCTCGCTCGCTGCCCCAGGCCCGAGGCTCAGCCGGTACCGGAGGGGAGGGATGGGGGCGGTGTGGGGGGGATGGGCACGGCCCCCTGAGGGGCTTTAGGGAGGTGGGGGAGGGGAGAGGGAAGTGGTGGTTTTGGTGTGGGGGGGGGGGGTTTGGTGAGGGAGGGGGGGGGGCGCGCGCGGTGACGTCACGGCGCGGCCTTGGTTTTCCCCTCCCCCCCTCTCCTCACTCGGTGTTGGCGCCCCTCCCCCCCCCCCCCCTCACCCCCGCTCTCCGCAGGTGCAGCCACGTGACTCCCGGAGCCCGCCCCACCCCCCCATCAGTGCTCCCAGTAACTCCCAGTAACTCCCAGTGACCCTCCCAGTGCTCCCAGTAACCCCCGGTAACCCCCGGTGACCCCCCCAGTGCTCCCAGTAACTCCCGGTCAACATCCCAGTAACTCCCAGTAACTCCCAGTGACCCCCCCAGTGCTCCCAGTAACTCCCAGTGACCCTCCCAGTCCCTCCCAGTCCTGCTTCCCATCACTCCCAGTCCCTCCCAGTCCCTCCCAGTCCATCCCAGTATCCCCAAATCCCCATTTCCTGGCGATTTCCCCTTCAAAAATCTGATTTTTTTTCCCAATTTTTGGGGGCTTTTGCCCCCGTTTTTTTTTTTGCTCCCAGCCCATCCCAGTCCCCATAACTCCACTCCCAGTCCCTCCCAGTCCCCATAACTCCCTCCCAGTCACTCCCAGTCCCTCCCAGTCCCTGTAACTCCACTCCCAGTGCCCAGATCCTTGCTCCCAGTACCCCCCAGTCCCTCCCAGTACCTCCCAGTCCCTATAACTCCACTCCCAGTCCCTCCCAGTGCTTCACAGTCCCCATAACTCCACTCCCAGTCCCTCCCAGTGCCTCCCAGTCCCTCCCAGTCCCCATAACTCCCATCCCAGTTCCTCCCAATCCCTATAACTCCCTTCTTAGTCCCTCCCAGTCCACTCCCAGTCCATTCCCAGTCCATCCCAGTCCCCATAACTCCACTCCCAGTCCCTCCCAGTCCCTCCCAGTCCCCATAACTCTACCCCCAATCTCTCCCAGTCCATCCCACTCCCTCCCAGTCCCCATAACTCCATTCCCAGTCCCTCCCAGTCCCTATAACTCTGCTCCCACTCCCTCCCAGTCCATCCCAGTTCCCACAACTCCACTCCCAGTCCCTCCCAGTCCCTCCCAGTCCACTCCTATTCCATCCCAGTCCCTATAACTCCACTCCCAGTCCCTCCCAGTGCCTCCCAGTCCCCATAACCCCCCCTCCCATTCCATCCCAGTCCCCATAACTCCACTCCCAGTCCCTCCCAGTCCATCCCAGTCCCCAGATCCTTGCCCCCACTCCCTCCCAGTCCCTCCAGTCCACTCCCATTCCATCCCAGTCCCTATAACTCCCCTCCCAGTCCATCCCAGTCCCCACAACCCCCCTCCCAGTCCTTCCCCTCCCAGTCCTCCCCATATCCTTGCTCCCAGTCCCTCCCACTCCCTCCCACTCCCTCCCAGTCCTTCCTAGTCCCCATATCCTTGCTCCCAGTCCCTCCCAGTCCCTCCCAGTCCCCATATCCTTGCTCCCAGTCCATCCCAGTCCCTCCCAGTCCACTCCCAGTCCTTCCCAGTCCTTCCCAGTCCCCATATCCTTGCTCCCACTCCCTCCCAGTCCCTCCCAGTCCCTCCCAGTCCACTCCCAGTCCATCCCAGTCCCTATAACTCCCTTCCCAGTCCCTCCCAGTCCTTCCCAGTCCCCAGATCCTTGCTCCCAGTCCCTCCCAGTCCTTCCCAGTCCCCATATCCTTGCTCCCAGTCCCCATAACTCCCCTCCCAGTCCCTCCCAGTCCCTCCCAGTCCTTCCCAGTCCTTCCCAGTCCCCATATCCTTGCTCCCAGTCCCTCCCAGTCCCTCCCAGCCCCTCCCAGCTCCCCGCCATGTCCTCCTGCGCCGAGCTGCTGCGTTTCCAACTGCCGGGCCACGAGGCGGCGGCGCTGCGCTCCATGACGCGGCTGCGGGCCGAGGAGCGCTTCTGCGACGTCACCATCGTGGCCAGGAGCCTCCGCTTCCGCGGCCACCGCGTCATCCTGGCCGCCTGCTCGCCCTTCCTGAGGGACCAGTTCCTGCTGAACCCGGCGGCCGAGCTGCGCGTGTCGCTGGCGCACAGCGCCCGCGTGCTGGCCGACCTGCTGCTCTCCTGCTACACCGGCGCGCTCGAGTTCGCCGGCAGGGATCTGGTGAGGGTTTAATTGGAGGCGTGGGGTGGCAAAAAAAGGGGGTGGGTGGAATGGGAATGGGCTTGTCCGGGGCGTTTGGTGATTGGGCAGGGGGGGCAGCTGAGGTGGTTTCACCTCAAAGATGCCCTTTGGACACCTGGGTGTGAGGTGGTTTCACCTCAAAGATGTCTTTGGCTGCCTGGGTGTGAGGTGGTTTCATCTCAGACACACCTTTGGTTATCTGGACGTGAAGTGGTTTCAGCCAAGATGGAGCTGTCGCACGTTGGGCATCAAAATATTGGAATTAAATACTGAAATATTGGAATTAAATACCAAAATGTTGGGATTAAGTACAAAAATGTTGGAATTATGTACCAAAATGTTGGGTTAAATACCGAACCAAAATACTGGAATGAAATACCAAAATATTGGGATTAAATACCAAAATGTTGGGATTAAATACCCAAATATTGGGATTAAATACCAAACCAAAATATTGGGATTAAATACCAAAATGTTGGAACAAAATACCGAAATATTGGGGTTAAATACCAAACTAAAATATTGGAATTAGATACCAAGATATTGCAATTAAATACCAAGATACGGGGATTAAATACCAAAATATTGGAATTAAATACCAAAATATTGGGATTAATCACCAAAATATTGGAATTAAATGCCAATAGGGGTGGGTGGAACGTGCCCAAGGGCTCGGCCGGGGCGCTTGGTGATTGGGCAGAGGGGGCAGCTGAGGTGGTTTCACCCAGGATGGAGCTTCCGCACATTGGGTGCCAAAATATTGGAATGAAACACCAAAAAATTGGGATTAAATACCAAAATGTTGGAATTAAACACCAAAATATTGGAATTAAATACCAAAATGTTGGAACAAAATACCGAAATATTGGAATGAAACACTAAAATACTGGGATTAAATACCAAACCAAAATATTGGAATTAAATACCAAAATATTGGAATTAAACACCAAGATATTGGATTTAAATACCAAAATGTTGGGTTAAATACCAAACCAAAATATTGGAATTAAATTCCAAAATGTTGGGATTAAATACCAAAATATTGGGGTTAAATACCAAACCAAAATATTGCAATTAGATACCAAGATATTGGAATCAAATACCAAAATATTGGTAATTAAACACTGAAATATTGGAATTAAATACCAAAATATTGGAATTAAATACCAAGATATTGGAATTAAATACCAAAATGTTGGGTTAAATGCCAAACCAAAATATTGGAATTAAATACCAAAATGTTGGAACGAAATACCGAAATATTGGAATGAAATACCAAAATATTGGAATGAAATACCCAAATATTGGGGTTAAATACCAAACCAAAATATTGGAATTAAATACCAAAATATTGGGATTAAACACCAAAATATGGGGATTAAATACCAAAATATTGGGATTAATCACCGAAATGTTGGAATTAAATGCCAATAGGGATGGGTGGAACGTGCCCAAGGGCTCGGCCGGGGCGCTTGGTGATTGGGCAGGGGGGGCAGCTGAGGTGGCTTCACCTCAAAGATGCCCTTTGGACACCTGGGTGTGAGGTGGTTTCACTCAGGATGGAGTTGTCACACGTTGGGCACCAAAATATTAGAATTAAGTACCAAAATGTTGGATTTAAATACCAAAATATTGGGGTTAATTACCAAACCAAAATATTGGAATTAAATACCAAAATGTTGGAATGAAATACCAAAATATTGGAATTAGATACCAAGATATTGGTAATTAAATACCAAAATATTGGAATTAAATACCAAACCAAAATATTGGAATTAGATACCAAGATATTGGAATTAAATACTGAAAAATTGGAATGAAATACCAAAATATTGGGGTTAAATACCAAACCAAAATATTGGAATTAAATACCAAAATATTGGGATTAAACACCAAAATATTGGTAATTAAATACAAAAATATTGGGATTAAATACCGAAATATGGGGATTAAATACCAAAATATTGGGATTAATCACCGAAATGTTAGAATTAAATGCCAATAGGGATGGGTGGAACGTGCCAAGGGCTCGGCCGGGGCGCTTGGTGATTGGGCAGGGGTGGCAGCTGAGGTGGTTTCACCTCAGAGAGGTGGGGGTTCCACCTCAGGGGGTCTCTTCCCTGACTGGTCCATCCCCAGCATATACCAAAATGTTGGGAATAAATATGAAAAAATTGGGAATAAATATGAAAACATTGGAATTAAATTCCAAAATGTTGGGATTAAATACCAAAATATTGGGGTTAAATACCAAACCAAAATATTGCAATTAGATACCAAGATATTGGAATTAAATACCAAAATATTGGTAATTAAACACTGAAATATTGGAATTAAATACCAAAATATTGGGATTAAACATCAAAATATTGGAATTAAATACCAAAATGTTCGGTTAAATACCAAACCAAAATATTGGAATTAAATACCAAAATGTTGGAACGAAATACCGAAATATTGGAATGAAATACCAAAATATTGGAATGAAATGCCCAAATATTGGGGTTAAATACCAAACCAAAATATTGGAATTAAATACCAAAATATTGGGATTAAATACCAAAATGTCAGGATTAAATACCCAAATATTGGGGTTAAACACCAAACCAAAATGTTGGTATTAAATACCAAAATATTGGAATGAAATACCAAAATATTGGGATTGAATACCAAACTAAAATATTGGAATTAGATACCAAGATATTGCAATTAAATACCAAGATACGGGGATTAAATACCAAAATATTGGTAATTAAATACTGAAATGTTGGGATGAAATACAAAATGTTGGAATTAAATGCCAATAGGGATGGGTGGAACGTGCCCAAGGGCTCGGCCGGGGCGCTTGGTGATTGGGCAGAGGGGGCAGCTGAGGTGGTTTCACCTCAAAGACGCCTTTGGACACCTGGGTGTGAGGTGGTTTTATCTCAGACACACCTTTGGTTATCTGGGTGTGAGGTGGTTTCAGCCAAGATGGAGCTGCTGCACCGTTGGGCACCAAAATATTGGAATTAAACACCAAAATGTTGGATTAAGTACAAAAATGTTGGAATTATATACCAAAACATTGGGGTAAAATACCAAAATATCGGATTTAAATACCAAAATATTGGGGTTAAATACCAAACCAATACAATACCAAAATATGGGAATTAAATACCAAAATATTGGAATTAAATACCAAGATATTGGGGTTAAATACCAAGATATTGGAATGAAATACCAAGATATTGGAATTAAATACCAAAATGTTGGGATTAAGTACAAAAAATGTTGGAATTATGTACCAAAATGTTGGGTTAAATACCAAACCAGAATATTGGAATTAGATACCAAGATATTGGAATTAAATACTGAAATGTTGGGATTAAATCTTGAAATATTGGGGTTAAATACCAAACCAAAATATTTGGATTAAATACCCAAATGTTGGAATTAAAATACCAAAATGTTGGAATTATATACCAAAATATTGGATTTAAATACCAAAATATTGGAATTAAATACCAAAATATTGATTTAAATACCAAAATGTTGGGTTAAATGCCAAACCAAAATATTGGAATTAAATACCAAGATATTGGAACTAAATACCAAACCAAAATATTGGAATTAAATACCAAGTTTTATTAAACGCCGAAATATTGGAATTAAATACCGAAGTATTGGTAATTAAACACCAAAATATTGGTATTAAACCCCAAAATATGGGGATTAAATACCAAAATATTGGTAATGAAATACCAAAATGTTGGAATTAAATACTGAAATGTTGGAATTAAACACCAAGATATTGGAATTAAATACCAAAATATTGGAATTAAATACAAAAATATTGGAATAAAATACCAAAATATTGGAATTAAATATCAAAATATTGGAATTAAATACTAAAGTATTACAATTAAGCACCAAAATATTGGAATTAATGCCAAGATATTGGAATAAAATACCAAAATATTGGGATAAAACACCAAATATTGGGGTTAAACACCAGAATATTGGAATTAAACACCAGCTCCAGCAGCCTTCCCTGAGCCCGTGGTCGCCGTTCCTGTTAACCCTGGGGACAGAGGAGCAGGTAAAGGGGACAGGGATCCCCCCCAAACCAGGTAAAAGGGGGCGACAAATGACACCTGGATGGCCCAGCCAGCTCCTGAAACCCCCAAATTCCCACTTCCAACTTCCAAAAAAACTCCAAAAAAAATCCCCAAAAATTTCATCTGCCTGGATCACCGAGGCGGGATTTTTACCTCACCCCCCAACAGGTGAATTACCTGACGGCCGCCAGCTACCTGCAGATGGAGCACGTGGTGGAGAGGTGCAGGGGAGCCTTGGCCAGGTTCATCCAGCCCTCGCCGACAGCGCCGGTGCAGCCGCCGAAGAACGAGGAGGACGAGGAAGACGAGGACGAGGAGGACACGACGGACGTTTGCATCGTCAAGGTGGAGCCGGCCACGCGGCGCAGGGGGCGCAGGTGGCCGGTGGTGGCCGGCAGCGAGGTGGTGAGCCAAGGTCCGGCGGGAGTGACCGCGGTGGTGGCGGCCGCGCCGGACAACGCCAGCGCGCAGCTCGGGGTGGTCAAGGCGTGTTACAGCCTGGCCGAGGACGCTGAGGGTGAAGGTTTGGTCATCTTCCCCGGTGGCGGTGGTGGTGGTGGTGGCAACGCCGCCGTGGCCACCAGCGAGGAGCCACCGGGCAACCAAGGAGCTGTGGGCGCCTCGACCACCACCACACCAACACCATCATCGTCATCATCATCATCATCGTCGTCATCGCGCTGCGGGAAGTGCGGGGAGAGCTTCCAGGGCGTGGAGAAGCTGGTGTTCCACATGAGGGCCCAGCACTTTGTGTTCATGTGCCCGCGCTGCGGCAAGCAGTTCAACCACAGCAGCAACCTCAACCGGCACATGAACGTGCACCGAGGGGTCAAATCCCACGGCTGCGGCGTCTGCGGCAAGAGCTTCACCCAGAAATCCACCCTGCACGACCACCTGAACCTGCACAGCGGCGCCAGGCCCTACCGGTGCTCCTACTGCGACGTCCGCTTCGCCCACAAGCCGGCAATCCGGCGGCACCTGAAGGAGCAGCACGGCAAAACCACGGCGCAGAACGTTCTGGAAGCTGGAGGCGCCGAGGGCGGGGTGGTGATGCGTTGATGTTGGGGTGGGGGGAGGGCCCGGCGTGGTTGGGGGTGGGGGTGGGGGTGGGGAATGGGGGGAGGGGCGGTGCTGGGTTCTCTCCCAGGGGTGGGGGTGGGAGGGAGGGGAGTGAGGGGTCAGGTGGGCAGCGAGGGGGTGAAGTGACCACGGAGTGACCGCCGGAGTGGTTCAAAGGGAGACCCTCAAAGTGAGCCCCAAAATGGTGGGGAGTGACCCCCAAAGTGGCACAGAGTGACCCCCAAAATGGTGGGGAGTGACCACCAAAGTGGTGGGGAGTGACCACCAAAGTGACCCCCAAAATGGTGGGGAGTGACCACTGGACATTGAGGGGGTGACCACTGGGGTGCTGGCAAGGAGGCCGAAGTGACCACAAAGTGACCACCGGAGTGGTTCAAAGGGAGACCCTCAAAGTGAGCCCCAAAGTGGGGAGTGACCCCCAAAGTGGCACAGAGTGACCCCCAAAATGGTGGGGAGTGACCCCCAAAATGGTGGGGAGTGACCCCCAAAGTGGCACAGAGTGACCCCCAAAGTGACCCCCAAAGTGATGGGGAGTGACCACCAAGGTGGCTCAAAGTGAGCCCCAAAGTGGTGGGGAGTGACCCCCAAAGAGGTCAGGAGTGACCACCAAGGTGGCACAAAGTGACCCCCAAAATCATGGGGAGCGACCACTGGACATTGAGGGGGTGCTGGCAAGGAGGCCGAAGTGACCACGGAGTGACCACCAGAGTGGTTCAAAGGGAGACCCTCAAAGTGAGCCCCAAAATGGTGGGGAGTGAGCCCCAAAATGGTGGGGAGTGACCACTGGACATTGAGGGGGTGACCACTGGGGTGCTGGCAAGGAGGCCGAAGTGACCACGGAGTGACCACCAGAGTGGTTCAAAGGGACCCTCAAAGTGAGCCCCAAAATGCTGGGGAGTGACCCCCAAAGTGGCACAGAGTGACCCCCAAAGTGGCACAAAGTGACCCCAAAATGGTGGGGAGTGACCCCCAAAGTGGCTCAAAGTGACCCCCAGAGTGGTCGGGAGTGACCGCTGGACACTGAATCCCCGCTGGACACTGAGGGGGTTGCAAGGAGGCCAAAGTGACCACGAAGTGACCACCGAAGTGACCACCAGAGTGGCACGGAATGACCCCTGAAGTGGCACAAAGTGACCCCAAAATGGTGGGGAGTGACCCCCCAAAGTGGCTCAAAGTGACCCCCAGAGTGGTGGGGAGTGACCCCCAAGGTGGCTCAAAGTGACCCCCAAAATGATGGGGAGTGACCACCAAAGTGGCACAGAGTGACCCCCAGAGTGGCGGGGAGTGACCACTGGAGTGACCGCTGGGGTGGTGGTGAAGTGACCACCAGAGTGACACGGAATGACCCCTGAAGTGGCTCAAAGTGACCCCAGAGTGGCTCAAAGTGACCCCCAGAGTGGTCGGGAATGACCTCAGAAAGGGGGGGAGTGACCACTGGACACTGAATCCCTGCTGGACACTGGGGTGGTGGCAAGGAGGCCAAAGTGACCACGGAGTGACCACTGAAGTGATCACCAGAGTGGCACGGAATGACCCCTAAAGTGGCACAAAGTGACCCCCAAAGTGGGGGGGGGGGGGAGTGACCGCTGGACATTGAGGGGGTGACCACTGGGGTGGTGGCAAGGAGGCCAAAGTGACCAGGAAGTGACCACCAGAGTGACCACGAAGTGACCTCCAAAGTGGTGGGGAGTGACCCCCAAAGTGACCCCAAAATGGTGGGGAGTGACCACTGGACATCTGGACCCTGCTGGACATCGAGGGAGTGACCACTGGGGTGGTGGCCAAAGTGACCATGAAGTGACCACCAGAGTGGCACAAAGTGACCCTAAAGTGGCTCAAAGTGACCCCAGAGTGGTTGGGAGTGACCGCTGGACCCTGCTGGACATTGGGGGAGTGACCACTGGGGTGGTGGCATGGAGGCCAAAGTGACCACAAAGTGACCCAAAGTGACCACGAAGTGACCTCCAAAGTGGTTGGGAGTGACCACTGGACATCTGGACCCTGCTGGACATGGAGGGAGTGACCACTGGGGTGGTGCAAGGAGCCAAAGTGGTCAGAAATGACCCCAAAATGATGTGAAATGACCCCAAAATGATGAGAAATGACCCCAAAATGTTTGGGAGCGACCCCAAAAGGAGGAATCCCAAAATGATGGTAAATGACCCCCAAAATGATGAGAAATGACCCCAAAATGGTGGGAAATGACCCAAAATGATGAAGAATGACCCCAAAATGGTGGGGAGTGACCCCATAAGGAGGAACAACCCCAAAATGATGGGAAATGACCCCAAAATGATGGGAAATGACCCCAAAATGATGAGAAATGACCCCCAAAATGGTGGGGAACCACCCCAAAATGTTGGGGAGTGACCCCAAAAGGAGGAACAACCCCAAAATGATAAGAAATGACCCCAAAATGATGGGAAAACAACCCCAAGATTATGAGGAACGACCCCAAAAGGAGGAATCCCAAAATGATGAGAAATGACCCCAAAATGTTGGGGAGTGACCCCAAAAGGAGGAACAACCCAAAATGATGAGGAACGACCCCAAAATTTTGTGAAATGATCCCAAAATTGCATGAAATGACCCCAAAATTTCGTGAAATGACCCCAAAATGATGGGGAGTGACCCCTGAGTGACAAATTTTGGGGTCCCCATTTAAAATCCAGCTCGAAAAAAAAAACCCCAAAGTGACCAATTTGGGGATTTTTGGCAAAAAAAAAAGGGGAAAAATTTTAATTTTTGGGGGGTTCCCCCCAAATTTGGCCCCTCAGGATAAATTTGGGGGTCCCAAGGCCTTGGTGGAAAATTTGGGGGATTTTTGGGGGTCCCACTGATTTTTTTGGGGGTTCTCCAGTTTTTTTGGGGTCCCCCCCTGATTTTTTTGAGGGTCCCCCCCAAATTTTTTTTTGGGGGGGTTTTGTAGATTTTAGGATTTTTTTTGGGGGGGGGGACCCCCTTAGGTTGTAGCGAGGGGTGGGGGAGGGGAAATTTGGGGGTGGGGGAGGGGGGGAAAGGATTTTGGAGCGAGGGGGGGGAGGGGACCCAAAAATTTTGGTTTTTTGGTTTTTTAAGGGGGTTTAGGGGGGTAGAGAGGAAGAATTTGGGGGTCCCTTTTTTGGGGGTTTTCAGACCCTTTTTGGGGTCGGGGAGGTTGGAACCTCCTCCCCCCTCCCCCTCCCCGGAAATTTTTATTTTTTAGGTTTTTTTTTTTTTTTTTGTAATAAACAGATTTTAAAGAAAAATAAAAAATCGATTTAAAATTTTTTTTATTTTGTTTTTTGGGGGGATTTTTTGGTTTATTTTGGGGATTTATCATTTTGTTTTCGGAGACGTGTTTATTTTTGGGGGTTTCTTGCGATTTGGCGATTTATTAATTTAATTTAGGGTGGTTTATTAATTTATTTGGGATTTATTTTTTAATAGGGAATTATTATTTATTTTGGGGATTTATTCAGTTTTTTTTGGGGGATTTATAATTTTTTTTGGATTTATCATTGAGGATTTATTCGTTTTTGGGGGATTTATTAATTTATTTACCCTTTTGGAGCTTTCTGGTGTCTCCTTGCACTTTGGTAAAATTCTAAAATCCCATTTTGTTTGAATAGAATTGAGATGATAAAAGAAACCAATCAGCCCTTCGGAAAGGTGGAGTCAAGATTTAATGAGCTAAAATTAAAAGAAAAACAAAATAAGAAGCGTAAAATGCTGCGAAATTAAATTTAAAAAAATTTTCAAAATTGAAAAATAAAATTAGCTAAAATAAAAAAAAAAAACCAAAAAGAACAGTAAAGTGCTGCAAATTAAATTTAAAAAAATTTCAAAATTGAAAAATAAAATTAGTTAAAATTTAAAAAAACCCAAAAAATCGTAAAATGCTGCAAAATTAAATTTAAAAAAATTGCAAAATTGAAAAATGAAATTAGTTAAAATTAAAAGAAAACCGAAAAAAGAACCATAAAATGCTGCAAAATTAAATTTAAAAAAACCTGCAAAATTGAAAATAAAATGAGCTAAAATGAAAAGAAAAACAAAATAAGAACAGTAAAGTGCTGCAAAATTAATTAAAAAAATTTGCAAATTTGAAAAATAAAATTAATGAAAATTTAAAGAAAAACAAAAAAGGACCGTAAAATGCTGCAAAATAAATTAAAAAAAATTAAAAGAAAAACAAAAAAAGAACCGAAAAATGCAGTAAAATTAAAGTTAAAAAATTGCAAAATTGAAAAATAAAATGAGCTAAAATTAAAAAAAAAGCAAAAAACCCCCGTAAAATGCTGTAAAATTAAATTTAAAAAATTGCAAAATTGAAAAATAAAATGAGCTAAAATTATAAGAAAAACAAAATCCCCCATAAAATGCTGTAAAATGCCGTAAAAGTCCCATAAAATAAAGTGCACAAAAGCGCGACTGTCGCAAAACTGCCGTAAAGCGACTGTCGCAAAATGGCGGAAACGGCGCCGTAAAGCGACTGTCGCAAAAATGGCGGAAAAGGCGCCGTAAAGCGCGACTGTCGTAAAATGGCGGAAAAGGCGCCGTAAAGCGACTGTCGCAAAATGGCGGAAAAGGCGCCGTAAAGCAAAACTGTCGCAAATGGCGGAAAAGGCGCCGTAAAGCAAAACTGTCGTAAAATGGCGGAAAAGGCGCCGTAAAGCGCGACCGTCGCAAAAGGAGCCGTAAAGCGTGACTGTCGTAAAAGGTGCCGTAAAGCGCGGATGTCGCAAAATGTGCCGTAAAGCGCGACTGTCGTGAAACTGTCGTAAAAGGTGCCGTAAAGCGCGACTGTCGTAAAAGGTGCCGTAAAGCGCGGATGTCGCAAAAGGGGCCGTAAAGCAAAACTGTCGCAAAATTGCCGTAAAGCGCGACTGTCGTAAAAGGCGCCGTAAAGCAAAACTGTCGCAAAAGGTGCCGTAAAGCGCGGATGTCGTAAAGGTGCCGTAAAGCGCGGATGTCGTAAAAGCGGCCGTAAAGCAAAA